AATCAGCAACGTGCAGCTGTATCATTTGTCAGAAAGGATTGCAAGCCTTAGTATTAGGATCAACCACCCGTTCGCCCTATTTGAACGAGGGGGTCGCATTTTGGGGTTTAGCAGGGTTATCATAGTAGGAACGGAGGTTTTTGAAGGAGGTTGTGTTTGGACGAGTTTTTTTTACGAATTTGGTGAATATCTTACGAAATTAGTGAGAATTAGGTAAAATTGGTGGAGTTTCCTTTTCATGATGTTTCATGAAACGAATTAAACCTCCCTCCCCGCTCGATGGCTGTTTTGGAGGAAAAAGTGAAAAAGGGCGGGGTTGGGTGTGTCGACTGGTCCCAGAATCAAGTAGTATAGAAACAGATATGACGGGGGAGTCTTCTTAGACTAATGGTGGTGGTGCTAGGGATCGCATTTGAGACCGCTCCAAAAGGGGGAGGGTTCGCAAAATTTCCCAAAAAAGTGCGAACGTGACCATTGACCCTGCCAGGATATGCCCACATCATGACAGTTTTTGCACATCACGAAAATGACCGGTATTTCTAATTGTCCTGCGTGTAATGGCATTGAAAATGAAAACCAGCCATTTCTTCTGATATCATCCTTCTGGGAACATTAATGGTCTGTTAGAGCGCACTACCACAGCACATGGTCCAGGGGTTCTCGAGCCGCGTTCAAGCATACCAATTATCCAATCCTTCAGGGTCGGCTAATTGATACCAGACCTATCTAATAGGACGAATGCACTGATCAGTACATCTTCCTCTCCTGCGGTTAATTGTGGATTCACAGGGTGAATAGCATTCAATTACTAGGTCACTTTGAACGGCTAGCGAATGCGTGGCGCACCCAAGAAAGATCAAAATGCTTTGTCGTACGATTTCTTTTTTGGAACTTTTCCCAGAAGTTCTGATCAGTGGTGCGCCTTTAGGTCTTTATTTATTTTTTCTTTGAAGAGTTCTTTATTTTCCTGCTAAGATTACATATTTTTGCTGGATGAGACTTCCTCTGAAAATTTCAGCCCCAGCAAGCGGCTTTGCGTCCTCATCTTATATCCAGACATCTCATTTTGGATGTATGCAAGGAGGCACTGCGACACTCAGATGAGTCCAGAAACTCTTGGAACTTCCCCCGCGTTTGGTTGGTCTTTTGCCCAAGTGAAAAGACCACGAATCAGCCCGGGTCATCATATCGGATTTCATTCTGACAGTTGTTCGCATTCTCAGTTAAACACATGTCAGGACTCTCAGTTGACACGGAATGCGTGGGAGTTCATGTGACAGTAATCTTTTTTCAGACACTTCGAAAACCTCCAAAAGAAAGCAGTCGTTGAAGTTTTCTGTCCAGTAATGATGTGTAAACTATTCGGTGATTGGCGACAATAAAATTTGCAACTTTCTTCTTCGAGAAGGTCAAAAATGATTTGTATCATTGAAATTCTATGCCAAAATAATTGAGATGTATTTGGATCGGTAGCTGGTCCCAGGGAGAAAATATGTGTGAGATGAATGAAATATGACGTGAGCTTCAATCAGCTACAGTAAGAGTGTCCATATGAGGACCCGGACACCTCCTTTTTACTAGAATCTGCTGACACACGTTTGAATATCTTATCAATTTCTAATGGAAGACGGGTGCATGGCGCAACCCTCTTTTTTTCTTTTAATTCGCTAACAAGAACATTCTTGAGGGCCTTTTAGTTCGTTCGTTGTTGAATAGTCGCCAATGCTGACAAATTCATTATTTCCTACGGACACATTCTGCATAGTTAGGTCGCTAATCTAGGCGTGTGTTGAGTTTTTCTAGCAGTCAACTTTGTATTTATACGCACGCCGATTGTCTTAGGCGCACCTTGAAGTGCAATAGTAAATAAATAAATAAATAAATAAATAAATAAATAAATAAATAAATAAATAAATATAAATAAGTGCAATAAAAGTAAGACATTAGAATAACAGGTTAACAGGGAGAAATTGCGCTCTTCGGTTGACTATATCTCAATAAAACCATAACATGAAGGGACACACCCCAATTACTGGGGGCGATGCTACAGAAGCTAAACGAATTTTTTGACCCTGGTGGGCGGTATGCATGGGCTAAATGTGGGCGTGTTACAGGGAGTAAGCCAGAACGGAGGTGCGTGCATGAAGCTACTCGCCATCGTCGGCACAACACTGGATTCTGAGAAGACGGCTCGATCCAAGTTACAAGATGCTGCAAGATGCGATCGTTCCTGAGAAGAAGTCAGATGCAGGGCGCATCTGAAGAGACTCAAGAAGAGCTAAAAGTCTTTTCATCATTCATGATAGCTCCATACCCTTCTTTGCCTCCCCAAAATCTTTTCTACGCCGGTAGTTCTTCTTCATGAAATTAAGAAAAAAATCATATTGCGCGGGCGAAATGTGGGCGTGCAGGTGGCTGTGGCGCTCCCAGACGCGTGGCGGGTTGGGAACAAAAATGGAGTTGGATGGCCGTGGTCGGGGCCGACAAGTAGATCTCTATCCATTTCGGTTCGGGTACCGGGCTACCAGACATGTTGTCTGACTCTGTACATTCGTGCTGCTGCCTCAAGACCAAACCAACACGAGGAACCGTCACTATTGTAAATGTGAAGTCGGAGTACCGTGCGCGAACGCGGGGTGATGACGCAACGGGTCGTAAGCCTTACCGCGTTAAACAGTCATCAAACCTGCATTTTCACATCCGTCGTTTTTCGATAGTTTTTTAAAATAGCATGGCTCTATCATGTCGATGACGCCTCACGAAAATGAATAAATAAAAAGATGTAGAATGCAAATGTTTAGGACATAACCACAATAGGAGAACAGAGCTAGTCCAGGGCTTTTTTGGATGCGCCACGCTCTTTG